CCGCCCCGCTTAATAATATAATTAAAAAATTATTTTTATATATATAAACCAAAATTATAAATATTTATATGTAAAAATTTATATTATTTTATTTTTCTTTTATTTTTTTTAAATTGTTCATATTTATTTAAAAGAAAAAAAGAAGAAAAAAAAATAAGAGCAGGGGCGGGGGCAGGGGAACCCCGTCGGGAGCGGGGATGAGGACTCAGATTTTATTCCCGGTGGGTATCGAGGGCGGGGACGGCTAGGCATGGCAACGGGGCGGGGCGGGGGCGGGGAACGTAAAACCCGCCCCTGCCCCGCTCCGTTGCCATGCCTAATGGCAGAACATATAAACCATTACTTAAAGATGTTGGAGCTTACTTGTCTTTGTACTGGGTGCCTACTCGTGCAGATGGCAAATGTGGGGAGCCATTGATTGCAATTTGCAGTACCCCAGTTTCCCCTGGTATCTCTGCAGTTCTTTGCAAGAAGTTCATTCTTCACTGTCTGTTGATACTTGATAGCTTTCCATCTCATGGTTTGAAATTTTTATTGTGGGTGATGTGTACAGCTCAACACCTATACATATGATGTAGGGTGTGCCCACTGTAATTTCTAATCATTTGCACATGTGATAAGCTTTATTATGTTTTAAATTTTCATTTCTATTAGCCATTTTGTTTCCCTTATTGACAATTAATGTGTGGTATTTAGCACATTTTATTTTCTCACTCCTTTAATAATTTGTAGCTCCTCCAGTAGTTTCTAATGTGCATGTGAAAGAGTTGTCCTCAGTAATTTATTCTGGAGAAGGTGAATATTTTGGTGGACATGAAGGAGAAAGTCTCTTTAGCTGGTATAGATAAAATAACGAGGGGACCATAGAACTGATTAATGGGGCAAATTCTAAAATCTACGAAGTTACTGATTCAGATTACAATTATCATTTGTTGTTTGGGTAATTATTCTATATTATCTTCTGGCTTTTTATTTTTGACCATGAAGATAGTGTATTGAATACCATGCTAATCATATTAGTTTTTCTAAACTTAAACTTGAAAGTTTGAGAGACGAAATGGTTTTCATCATTCATTCCTTGTTGCTTTAGATGATTGATTGTTGAAGGAAGTAGTTTTTAGGAGTTCCCTAACTTGTTACTCTTAATTTAGTTAGGATTAATAGTCTCATTCTATCACAGGGTTGGGCCTGTGCGAGTATTGTTACAGTGGTGTTTGAACTAATTATTAGTGTAAAGAGGATGATTGTATTGTATCCACTAGTGCAAAAAAAGCCTTTTACGTCACCTAAATTAAGTCGGAATAGGCCGACGTTGACGTAAAAAAAATGCGGTGGCAGTATTGTAATTTTTGTGAACTTTTTTACGTCGGACCTAATAGAGTCCGACATAAAATATAAAATCTATGTCGGACACATAGTGTGTCCGACGTAGATTTTATATTTTATGTCGGACTCTATTATATCCGACGTAAAATTACTTTCTATATACACACTATCAGGGTCCCCTCTCGAGCTGGTACTTCATGAAGTGCCACGACGAAGTGGAACGAGAGCAAGGAGATGGCGTGAAGATCTTCCACCACTTCACGGAGCAGGGAGATGGCGCCAGGATCATGGCCTAGAAGCAAACAAGGTATGCTGAAAAGAGCTCTTTGTATAGGTTGGGTTTGCTGGGCTTTGATGCTTACCTTATTTTTTTTGAAAAGGGGAAGTTTTATAAAGGAGCTTTTAAGCCCTTTTGCTGGATTGTTGGTCTAGATCTGCAGCCCTGCCCTATAGAATGAATCCAATAAGGAGAGGCTTATGGATGACCGAGCCACTCTTATACTACTCCTTACCTCACCCCCTTCTCACTTAAGAGATTAAGAGCAGTGGCCAGAGAAGAAGAAGCTTAAGGCAGAAGTGAGTGAACCTCCTTTTGTTTACTTTCCATCTTCACCCTCTCGTTTCTTCTACTTATTTGTTGATTTTGTATATGGAACGGCCCGTTTTGCAAGGAGAACGAACCGTTCTCCTTGCAGAACGGGCTGTTCCAGCGTAATTTTTTTTTGGGTTTTTGCAATTTTTTTACGTCGGGGTTGGACAATTTCTGACGTAAATTTACGTCGGTCTAAACCGTTAACGTAAATTTACGTCTCCCGCTTTTACGTCGGACGTTTTTCTGACGTAAAAAACTTAAAATAGCCGACGTAAAAAGCCTCTTTTACACTAGTGATCACATCATTATTTACAATATTCATTAAATATCTTATTATTGGGACGTTCCTTTATCTCTTTTACTCCTTCCCCACCCTAACCCTATAATTTCAACAGGGAAAACAATTAAGTTATAGTTGTATTTCATTCTATATATTAACATTTTCATCCTTTCCGCCAGATATACACCTGTTCGTTCAGATTCAGTTGTCGGAGAACCTATATTATCTGATCCAACTAACATTATTTTTCCAGGTAACCATCTCCCATTTTTGTGTAAGCCTGTTACATTGCATTTATTTTTAAATAGTGAAGCACCTTTGTCCTGCAAGATTTTAAAGTTGTTCTTTCCTTCATTGTCCACTAGAGCTTCCATATGTGGAGATGCTTGCCCTGACCGGAAAGGCAGTTGAAGGTGACGTACTTACAGCTGTTGAAGTGATTCCAAATAGTGAGACTCAACATGTTTGGAGCAAGTACAAGAAAGATATAAGATACCAATGGTATGGTGATATTCATTACATTGATGCAACATACTTCTACTTTCTCAATGAACAAATTTAATTTTTATTTCCCAAGATTCCTTTACCATAATTAATCTCAGATGGCAGTATAGAGCATAGAAAACCTTACTGTAACTAGATAGCAAATCTTGGGAGTGGCTTATATCAAACATTTGAAAATACTTTTTTAAAAAGTATTAAAAACCCACAAAATTAATTATCTGAATAGGTATGCAATATTTTACCATAAGCAAATGAATAATAAATTTTTTGAATGCTCATAATCAAAAGAAAAAAAATCATTTGTATTAGTTAACATGTAGTAAGAAACTTTAAGTACTTTCGAAGCGCTAGTTTAAAAGCATTGCCAAATAAGTAGTTAAAAGAAATTATCACTATGGGCAGTGATGTCTTTCCATTTTTGAATTAGTTATCCACTTAAGTACTAACAGGTTTTGTTAATATAGTGTAGATATATGTAGGAAAATATTCTCTTAGGAAAGTATTCTCTTATTGAATAATCCACAATAATAGTGGGGTGCTACTTAAACATAAAAGGCTGATTCCTTAATCTTAGGAAGCAAGAATCCCATGAATCATTCAAGGAAAGATTACAAAAAGGAAAAAATCCCATGAATTCGGGATTAACTAATTCTATCTTTAATCCTAGGATTTTATCTTCCTAATTTATTATGAATCATTAAATCCTAACATTCCTAATTTTTTTCGCATATAGATTTTATTTTGGGTCATAATGTTATAGGTGTGAAATGTCTACCAATTTTATCGATGATTAATCGTTGTCAGAGAAATTGGTTAGCTACCTTTAATGGGGTCTCTCAATCTAACCATATTTTTTTTCATTCACAAGTATTGGACCTAAGACTTTGCTTAATCGATCATAATTTAATTTGGATATCATGAGATTGTGAGTACTGTATTTATCTAAATTATACTTATGGGTATCCTCTAAACTCTATGAGAGACATTATTTAAAACTGGAACATCCATAACATGGTGGGGTTAGCTCTTTGAACAGGTTACATATACTAGATTCAAATCCAAGACTTTGCTCAGGAGGAATAAAAACACTTATCGCACATGAAAATTAATAGATAACATGAAAGTTAATTTTTATTCCCGCTTCTGTACGATGCATGTGTCTAAAATTCATTCTCCTTTCTTGTAATTTAGAAGAGTGTGGGGCATCAAGGATCATACTATTGACCATGTCAGTAAAGTCTGTCCCATGGAAATGACTAATTCTCCTGAATGCTGAAGCTGATGGGTGCCTTTGTATCTAACAATGTAACAATTATTAGGGTGGTTCTTTTTTATGGCCATGAAAATGCTAGTTGCTAATTAAACAATGTTTCTAATAAGTGCTGATTATATGCATCACATTAACATCATTTCAGGTTTTCTTCATCAGAAGTTGGGGACAATTTTTCTTATGATCCATTACCTAATCAGAGTTCTCGCTCCTATAAGGTGCGGCTAGAGGATATTGGTCATCACTTGAAATGTGAGTGTACCGTAACTGATGTGTTTGGAAGGTCAGGTGAGGCAGTATGCATTGAGACAACACCTGTATTACCAGGTAACTACTTTGATTACTTGAGCATTCTTTGTTTACAATTTTATTCCTCTTTGCATTTTCAGCCAGAAATAATATGGCTTTAATCTGCCTGTTTAGTTAGGTGTTCTTGGTATGTCTACAACAAATAAGAGGTAACTAGGCAGAGGAAAGTATATAAAGGGGTAATGGGATGCACTAACTCGATGTGTTAAGCTTCCTATCTATGTATTTATATGAAAAGAACAAGAAGAGGTACAAATGTAGCATGAACAAAGCCTTTCTTAATAAACCTAAATATAATTTTATTATAGAACTTTTTCAAGCTGTTGCACAGTTATCATGCTCAGCTTGTTAAAAATATAATTAACCTAATCACAACCAGGAGCTTTGGTGGACATGCCAACCTGTGTTTACCTAGTGTTCACTTGGTATAGAAA